CTGCACTTCGGTCACAATAATCCCATGCAGTCCTACAGGCTTGGGGACGAGAGGCTGAAAAGCAGCCAGGCAGAAAAGGACCTGGGGTGTTGGTGGACAGCAGGATGACCATGAGCCAGCAATGTGCCCTTGTGGCCAAGAAGGCCAATGGCATCCTGGGGTGTATCAGAAGGGGTGGTTGTAGGTCGAGAGAGGTTCTCCTTCCCCTCTACTCTGCCCTGGTGAGACCACATTTGGAATATTGTGTCCAGTTCTGGGCCCCTCAGTTCAAGAAGGACAGGGAGTTGCTTGAAAGAGTCCAGCACAGAGCCACAAGGATGATGGAGGAAGTGGAGCACCTCCCTTACGAGAAGCGTCTGAGAGAGCTGTGTCTCTTTAGCTTGGAGAAGAGAAGACTGAGGGGTGACCTCATTAATGTTTATAAATTTGTAAAGGGTGAGTGTCAAGAGGAAGGAGCCAGGCTCTTCTCTCTGATGTCCCATGACAGGACAAGGGGCAATGGGTGCAAGCTGAAACATAGGAGGTTCCATGTGAACATGAGGATTCTTTACTGTAACGGGTGACAGAGCACTGGAACAGGCTGCCCAGAGAGGTTGTGGAGTCTCCTTCTCTGGAGACATTCAAAACCCACCTGGACGCGTTCCTGTGTGGCCTGGTCTAGGTGATTCTACTCTGGCAGGGGTGTTGGACTAGATGATCTTTTGAGGTCCTTTCCAACTCCTGAGATTCTGTGATTCTGTGATTCTGTGATTCTGTGAAACACTTGAGCATGTGATAGAAAAGAAGTACCCTGCTAAGTTGTTCATGACATACTTTTAAATCATACTGCAGTGTTTTCTGGCTAAATGCAGGTTAAAGAGATAATTATTTTGCACAGGAGGATGAAGAGGAACATCCCTACCTTGTACCAACGAGGAGTATAGAGAGATGAATTGAGAAGCAAGAAGCTATTTTGGTCTTGCAACATGAATCTTGGCAGCCACTTTTTCCCCAGTCATACTGCCCAGTCCTCTCTAGTCCTATTGGATGTGGAAAATGCAATCACAAGCTTCAGTGGTAATAAAGATATGGGGACAAAGGTTGCCTACAACCCTATGCCATAAAGAAGTCTTAAGGTTCTTATAATTCAGGTAAGAAATTGTACGTTTGCTAAATCAATGAAAATCCATTGCATTTACTGTGATACCTGAATTAACTCGTGTGGATTCAGTCAGTTGCATTGACAGGATGCAACCTGCCTGCTGTAGAGGCATGATTGCCATTTTCAAGTGGGAAAATCAGGAACTGTTATGTCTGAAATGAAGTTGTCTTGTGCTTCAGCTCACTTGTCAGTTTGGAGTTACGTACCTTTACTGTGAGTATGTATCAGTTTAGCAGTAAGTTGAAAGCAAAGACCTTGGAAGGAAGTTGGAGAGAGTCATATTTATTAAATCACAAGTTTCTCTTTGAAATGCTTATGTAAGTAAACAAAGAGATCAATATAATAACATTGCTCCTGGGAATTTACCCTTGGGGTCTTTTGGGGTATTTTTCCTATATAAAAGTAAAATAATACTAATTAAAAAAAAAAAGAGTAGTATGCTGATATCCAAAGACAAGATGAAACGCTTCAAACTCCTCACCGAGAGGAAAAATTGCTGGTGAATGTAATAAAGAGTTTCTGGAAGACAAATATATGTATGGACAGCTGAAAAGAAGAGGCAAAGAATCTGTTTCTTTTGCTCAATTTATGCAGTTAAATTCGACAGGGAGATGAGGAAAGAAAAGATGCCCTGCAAACCTCTTTGACTATGACAGCATCAAATCCATTATCTGTAAGTTTAATTAAAAATTTTCCCTGTTATTTTATCTCTACAATTAAGGTTCTTGTTTTGCATTGAACATGTGAAGAGATTGAAGGAGTCACACAGGAATTTCATCTGGAAGCTTTGATTTTGATCCTGTGAATGTTTAGGAAGTGTAGGTATTGATGGGTTCCTCCGTTTGGTGGCTGACAGCTATTCACATCCTGACTTTTCAATGCAGATCACACCTTATTACAGGTAAAGATAGTTCCATTTTGAATAGATTTTACTGAAAAAGCTTATTTATGCCCAGGTTCACAAAAAACTAGAAGTCAAAAATAACGAGTACACATCTTTCTTGCCACTTTATAAAGAAATATTTCTAGATCTAGGCACTGCTGTATTCTGATCTGTTCTTGAGCTGCTGCTTCACATGAGTGCAGATCTGCTGCAGGTCATATGCCACAGCTACCAGCACCATAGGGTGTCTTGTGTACCCTATGACATTTCAAATGATAGTAGGTACCAATGTTTGGGCAATTGTTCACCCATTTTTCATGATGTCTCAATAGCCATAACTTAATGGCCATGAACTTGCTTGAGTTAGTGTTCAAGGTACTGAAAGATAAACTCCATCAGCCTCACATACTGTAAATATTACTTATCTAAGTAATCTGTCATGTTATTTTTTTAGTTTTCTTCTGCATTCCTCTCCTGTTGACACTGATACTGGTTCTACTGGTTACCTGATATAGTGGCATGAAAAATGTGGTATAGACAAATAGAAACAACAGCCATTTTATCTTCACACAGGTCAATTTATTAGCTCTCCTCCTAATAGTTCCATCATTGGACTCATTGGAGAAGGAGTCATTCTGCCCTGCCACGTGGTAGCAGATAACATTCCTGAGGGATTCTCTGTCCAGTGGATATTTCATGAACAGTCTCAGAAAATAACTGTGAGCAGATATGATGGAAAGAATAAAGAGGAGAAACAAGATGAGAGATATCAAGGCAGAACAGAATTCTTCCACAGTGAATTTAGAGCTGGCAACATGTCTCTGCGCTTGAAGAATATCAGGATCTCTGACAAAGGATCATACACTTGTGAGGTCTCTTTTGATGACATGTACTATGATGTGTTGGTTGACCTGCAAGTGGCAGGTGAGTGGCAATTCTCTCTCTTTTCATTCTATGATGAAGAAAAACAGAACCACATATATACTTCACTGACTGAGGGAATTGTAAGTTTAATATGATTTGACACATAAAATATCTTCATGGGGGGATGTGTTTGATTTGAGTTAGTTTTCTCCAAATTCATGACTATAATCAATATTTCAAGTAAAATTTAGTTCTAGTTTGAGATATCTTTATTTAGGAACTGGATGCATGAAGCTGTATGTGACCTGAGAGTAAAATCTCCTTCATACTTAATGAAAGCTCAGTCAGAAAGTTGAGGGGACTCTGCCATTCAGCTGATCAACATAAAATTAAATTTACGTTTCTACTGTGCAATCAACCATTACTGAGCTGATTGCCCAGAGTTTCTCTATGGTCAACATAATCAATTGGTCTCATCCCAGTACCTCACTGCTTACCTTGCTGTGTGCCCACAGCAGGAGAACAAAGCAGTGGGTAGGCCTTCATTACTCCTGTTTCCAATTCAGTATATTCATAGATACCATCTTAATGGGGAGCTTCAGTTAAAATAGTTGGCTAGGAAGTGAACATGTGTTCCTCCATGCTTTCCTGGCTACACAGGAACCAATTTCCACTAGATAGGTATTGGCGCATCCCATATTACAGTCAGATTCTTCTGAAAAGGTCTTCTCAGATTTAAAACTCCAGATGAAGCGAAGGGTTAACATATAAGTAACACTGTAATTGAGTCTTCTGAGCTCCTGAGTATAAACAATACCTTTTTTGCACTGTAGACCTAATCTGTACCATGTTAGTAATAGTTTTACTTGAAATAATTAGGCTGAAACAGTAATATATTCTGCTATCATGGACAGGTTGTACTGGTTGTTCATAGGCTTCCTGTAATCCATTAATCTTCATAATTATAGGGATTTTTTTGGTCTTATTTTTTTTTATTTACAAATTTTTGAGAAATTCCACTGGCATTTTCATTCCAGAATAGCCATCCCCAGCAAATACTATTTGCCATAACCTCTATTAAATTGCTCTTTATTCTCAAACTGATAGACTTTGAATTGTTTACCATCAAGAAACTTCAGGGCCCAAGTCTCTGTCACAGTTTAAATTAAAAAAAAGTATGTCTGTGCACATCCATACAAATATATATGCAAAAAAAATAAGTGTTGAATTCAAGATAAGCCAGACCATTTCAGTACTGGTTAAAATGGAGAATATGTATGCTTTTTCTTAGCTAAAGGCGGTATGCCTTCCATTTTCCTGAGGAGGCATGTGAAGCAGGGCATTGGCCTCACCTGCCGTGCAGCTGGATGGTTTCCTAAACCTGAGGTGATTTGGCTGGATGGCCAAGGACAGATCCAGACAGAGCTATTGACCACAAAGGTGACAAAGACACCTGCAGGCCTATACAGTGTCGTAACTTCCATGAACCTGGAATCGGGCTCTGACATGGAAATCTCCTGCAGGATTGTCAACAGTCTGCTAAACACAACGAGTGAGTCTCGAGTCCTGATCTCAGGTGAGCTCTGTAGTCAACTGCTTGTCAGATTAAAGAGACAGACTGTCTAAACGGCATCAGTCCCATTTTTATGTCATGAGTAAAACAGTTTATCTTCTTAAAAAGGAATCAAGTAGTAGCAAATTTAAGGCAGTTGACTAGTTGAAGCTGAATTAAAATGGAATAAGAATGCAACTGAAAGCACATAAAAAGATGGCATATTTTCTTAGTGATGGTTGATCACTCTGAAAGCTTTCATTATCCAGAAACATGTTTCCAGGACATTTAGGAAGATGTGCTTCGATGGGTTTCACAAAGCGTAGCTGAAAACAATAGTTTTGATCCCAAAAAAAAAATTCTTCGCCACAAAGCTGTTGTCTAGGTCTGGAATGGAAACTTAAGTGCAGTGTAAACCTCTTGAATAAGTGTGTGAGGGAAATCCCTTTTGGGATGGCATCAAGAAATCCCAGGGCACTGAGTGTGAAAAGAGGAAATCAGAAATAGCCAATGTGGGGAATGTCTGAAATCCTATCCTCTTTCTTGACTTATGCTCTGTACTCAGCAGGATGAATTAGATATTCGTTGAATCAAATTAAACAAGAGTAAACATGTCTCTCTTGTCCAGTGATGATGGTTTCTTCCTTCATTCATTAACCTGCTCGCTTTAGTATGAAATGCAACACAAAGTCGTGAAAAAAAAACCTGAGAGCCAGTATTGCTGCATTTCTAGTGAGTCATGAACTGTCAAAACCTGTCTAGCTACCTCAGACATCTCTTTCTGAATCTGAGTCTCATTCTTTTCTGAATCTGACACCCAAGGAAAGAGTCTGCCTGGATTAGTCATGCTGAAGAGGGATAGATCTCTTCTACAGCAACTTTACTAGCAGAATCCAAGTAAAATAGAAATTAGTAATTTCCTCAGATGTATTGAAATAATCTTGTTATATTTGTCTTTATATTTTATCATTAATAGAATATAACTCCTTCTGTTCATTTTTACAGACATGTTTTTTCCCTCCATTTCAAAATGGTTGATTATCTTTCTGGTAATTTTATGTCTAAGCATGGTCCTAATTTCCACTATATTTTCTAAGCTGAGAAGTAAGTATTTCTTTGTATGTTATTTCAGTCAACTTATAGAAATATCGCAACAATGTGTATTGAAATTCACGACTGTAACAAAAGCTCACATGTGAAATCACCAGTGATTGTTCAATGATCGATTTCAGGAAATAGAATGAAAAAGGAGTGGGAAAGTACACAGTCTGAACAAGGAGCAATGCAAATTGCTCCACCTTACCTCAGATGGCTCTATGTCTGACAAGAGGAGCTCTGGGAGCTAAACTACCTGTGTAGCTCCCTTTCTGTAATCACTGGGGAGAGAACTTCAGAGTGTTTCCAATTGCACTAGAGCCTAAATTACAAACCAGAGCTGATTTCTGTCACTATTACTCTACAAAAACATATTAAAAAAGGAGGTTTTACCTTTTTTTTTTAACCAGGTAATCACAAGAAAACAGCCAGCTCAGGTAAGTAATGAGGAAGAATATGACAATTTGTAAGTTGGACAGTTTATTTTTATTAAATCACAGAACTAATTAGCAGGAGTAGTTACATCGAAATGTTTTGTAGATTTTTAATTTCTTTTTTGCACCACATAATGTAGTAAGTTCCTGTATGAGTTTTTCTCATTTGTTCTTTATAAACAGAGTCAATTTCCTTCTTGCTTTGAGCTCTAGTCATGACTATAGGCTGACTGACATACTCTATGAGGTCATTCACAGTCAAGCTTTGTTTGTAAGTATTCAAGAGTTAATTAATGGATCAGAAGCATTCCTCAGATTCTTTAGAAAAGGAAGATCTAAATGAATTTACCAAACAGTCAAGAGCAATTCAAGGATCCAGCCCAAGGACATCTCAAGACTCTGAAAGCAACTTACTCTTCGAATACATCTGTTTAGTACTCACCACCTCTGTCTGTGCTTGAAAAGAAAATGGACCAGTGGGCATAAAATCATCAAGTGGCTTGGGTTGGAATACACCTTTAAAGATTATCCAGTCCAACACCATTGCCATGGGGTGTGGGGAGGCACTTGGCATAGCTCATGTGGATT